GCGTGCTTTTTCAGATCAATTAATTGCTTCCAACCCAAGGAGCTCCCCAAATATTTGTAGTGTTTGAATGCATCTTAAGGAAGATATCGTCGGTTAAAGATCGCGCCCACCCGAAAAACTCTTAAAATGCCCCAAAAATGTCGATTATTTCGGATCAAATCCAAGATTAAAAACGGCGCATAAACTTGAATAGTTTTGCTTCAAAGCAATGTACGACAGCAGACTAAACTAGAGTAAAAACCCCTGGTATAACTTGAACATAGAATTCTTGTTAAATTTATGAATTTATCACGTTTTGATTAAATCGTCAATAAAAGGGGCATAATTCGAGAAGACGCGTTGCTAAAGGAAATAAATCCAGAAAAACATTCTGTCCGATCCATTTAGAGTGCCCATTACATAATTATAGGTTTTCGAATGAACTGTTCAGGAATGTTTACGGAATGGTTAAGATTAATTATACGAAATAGCGAAGCCATGAGGAATCATTGAAATGAAGAACGAGCCTTCAGGTAGTGGACTGGCGACCACAGACGAATCAGATTTAAGGTCATTTTCCTGCAGCTTTGTTCGCTGGGAATTGACAAATTTAGTCTTAAACAAATCACACTGTTTAATATAATTTTTTCGGACCCAACAATGGTTCTTTAAACACCTGGTAATGGTAATATGGCCAGCTTTACGGTTGCATGCAATGAGTCACAGTGCAAGAGATTCTTTCGCGTTGACTAAAGATCGAAATGTCGATTTTTCGTCTCATTTCGTCAAACTAACCGTAAATGATCGCAGAGAAAATGTAAAATGAATGGACAAAAATGCGATTAACCTAACGGACCGTTATGGAGAAGAAGGTGGAGGAATAAAATTCTAAACTCCTACATTTCGTAATTGTGGTTCACGAGCGAACGCCTTTTGTTTCCGCGGAACAAAGACTTCACGATAGGGAAATTCGATCCATTTCATTGGTATGTAAGTGGATTCTGGTTAGTTCTTAATAATATCAAGTGGGTTAATGTGGCACAAAACGATCGGGCCTGCCTTGCGGCATTAACAGTAATCAGTTTTCAATCCCTCAGCATTCAGGCAAATGCGACTCGTTTGAAGACGAATTCATCAGCACATGGATGGTCGGAAAATACCGCCTTCAACTTATTTTTTAAGTGTTGATTATTTCACTCGTAAATTCTCATGCATGTTCTTTACTTAAACCCCACAGTCCCCGACAAATTTCCCAGAAAACCGAACAAATATTTCCTCGACGCCTGTTGAGCTTAGGTATAGCGAAATCATACTTAGAGTTCAATGGAAAACTGATAATTGCTAAAAAAGCAGCATTTAAGAATTAAACCTAACGGGTCGGGGCTTTTGTCCAAAAATTGCACTGCTGAACCCACCGTATAAAAGAGGCGTTTCCCAACTTCCAATAAATCGTGGGATTTTCGAACTCATCCATCGAACGACCGTTTAGGTATATTTGCGAATGCCCAGATGGTCAAAGCAATTATAGATAGACTACCTGTAATCGGATGAGTCAGGTGGTAAGGCTGCCTCAGCCTGGCACCGTAGGAATAGTAAATGAATGGCAAACAGTAGGCAGATGAATTATCATCGAATTGGCTTTGAAAGGTTAGTAGCATTCATTCAAACTTTCCTAATTAGCGGAGTTTGGAACTAACCAAGTTCGGGCCTCTAACAGCACTTGAATCATGCTGAAACTGTGCAGAATGCGAGCTCATTACTTAGCTATTGTGTAATAGTGTGAGAAAATGTTTGAATTGGCTGTGACCGAAAGGAGAAGAATAATTGAGGATTTTACAGCAAACAGTCCATGTTTTGTCGATGAGGTGAAACGATAGAATTGAAAATGCTTTCTTATGCACCAAAGTTTGGGAAAGTGAAAGTGAAAATAGGGCCTCAGTGGTAAAATCTAAAAGACTCATGACGTCAGACCATGTAGTCATGGATTTCTCCCGTAAGGAAGGCATTGAGCTGTAGACCAAATCAGCTTATGATTATTGAGGAGCGAGGTTTCGTTATTAACTTATCTGGTCTTCTGATGAAAAGTCCAGATGAAAAAAAAACATTACAAATAGGTAAACGTTTTATAATTGATTGCCGACAGTTTTTCACACAATATTATTCTCTGCAGTGTTTCCAAAAATTTGCAAACTTTACTCAAGTAAATAAGAAATAAGTAGGAATACCAAAATCACAACATTATTCACACAACTTTCCTGACCGTTTATCAATTTTATAACCCGGCTTTGCATTACTTGAAAATGCACTTTTCCTTGAAAAATTTACATTTTCTTCAGACAGTGAACTTGTATTCCGAGCTGATTCGAACATAAGCAATGGCAAATCAGGCAGCACTCGACATTTCCCCATACCAAAATCGGGGAGTCGGTTATATAACAAATTTCTAAAATTTAATCAAACCTGACCTACCAATTTGCAACGTCTTTCTTCGGCCGATCGTTGCCTTAAGTCCGGACAAAAAGCTGGACATGCTTGTTGACTTAGGCCATTTTCAAAACCCACTTAATTATTTATTGGTTTGCCGAATACCAATGTGTAATTAAATTCCATGTAAATTTGCCGGCGAAAAAACACCACAAGTTATTCGCTCCAGGCCACGCTTCCACGTTGAATATTTGTTGTGTTATTATCGCGTTATGTTTTAGCTTCGGGCAACTGTGCAACATACAAAGTCAATTAGAACAATTTCTATGAATCCTATGCAGGGGAAGCTCTAAAACCGCTTTTCCAGTTGAGAAACAAGCAATTTTTGCCGCTCAGGCCCTTGCTATCACTGCGCCCCAAATTTATCGCCCCAATATCCCCTAACTTTGACTGCAAATATTTTCTCAGTCGCATTTATAATAATTTTTTACGTCACGAACGTCAGAGAGTTCCGTCTTAGTCGGAAAGCACGGGAGATCACTTCGCCCACTGCCTCATCGCCTTTGATAATGTCCACCGCAGTTGTGGACGAAACGTCAGGAAGAAATTCCCATGGACCACGGCTTCAAAGCCCGAAAAACATTTCTAAATGTGATTTAACCGGCCGTGAAAGCGTTCACTTTTCTCATTAGGTTTTTGTCGAATCATTCCTCTTTTCTTGCACTAAATTTCCCTAATAAAAGAAGCCAAAAAGTGCAATAAACGTAGTTTACAGGGCGATGGAATACTGTCATATTTTCTTGGTCAAACTTTAAGTCCCTCTGCGAAAAATATTGGGTACGCCAGAGAGAAAAAGGATCCGTTGTTATTTATATCCTCAAGTCTTCTAAGTGATTTGGATCTTCAATCGTCTGTTTGTCCCGAGCCAGTTGAAAAATATAATTTTTTTGCCCAGTCACATTTTTTGCATAAAATTAATTTTTATTTGCACAGAAAATTTCACTTTGCAAACAACATTCCGTACAAATTGATGTTCAGCACAAATAAAATTTCTTGTGCGGAATTAAAAAGTTTTCATATATTTGGTGCGAAAATGTGACCAGCACCATGATTCCATAAAAAAATTGTTCAAGGCGCAATACCGACTGGTAAAATATTCACAGTTAAAAATGATGGAACAGTAGTTGCGTTCTGAAAAATTTGATGTACATTTTTGCGGTTTTCGATAATTCACCAACAAAAAAGAATCAATGAAATTCCCCAAACAGGGACTGAAATGAATGAATATTGACCTGATAATCTTGCCTTGAACTGATATTAAAAACAATTCAACACTGAATTACGAGCTGTAGAACCGGAAATTGCGTTGCTTGACCAAAGAGGATTTAATTCATTGTTAAATGATACCGTTACGAATTTCCTAAGCAAAGTGGAGCATTCCAAATAATGTTAAACGGCTCGATTGAACAATCTTGGAATGTTTGGCTTTCGGCCAGTTAGAAGAAACTAATTAAAGCGGCAGAAGATTGCGAAAATCATACATTACACGCGCCATTAAGTGGTAAGGGGTGTTCACCGGGAACCAGTAATGTTCCAAGAGAAAACTGCAGATAACAACAACTTATGAACTGGGAAAAAGCCGCACAATAGCGCAACTGCCGTCATTAATTCCCCATTACACTATTAAAGTTACTTCTCCGTGCACACCGGAAATCCACCAGAATGTGCAGACTTGAGTACGTGTAGCTTTTCACAGTCGTTCAAATAAATCCGAGATTATACACCCACAGGTATAGGTGCCGGACAAAAAGCTTTCATCCCCGAACAAAGGAAGATCTACACGACTTTCTATAGAGGCCGATCCGGCAGGCAAATGTTTATTTTGCGTTAATATTCTTATTTAAGACGGCGAATGTTGTAACTGTAAAAGTTAATCTTTCGGATGGAATGCCGGAGTTTATCGCAATGATGCGGCAGATGTGCAAGTGGACCGATTAATATTATTACAGGATACAGTCGGACAGTATGTAAATGCAACTGGAATACTTCTTCCATCTGGGTATTGCCGCAGTTAAACTCTTCATAGTTTTATTGCCAGGGTCTAATCATAATCTTCATTGCTGCTTCCTTTGCTTCTAGTTAAAAGCTTTTCGAATTGGTCCAAGCTAAGTTCAATATCAATTAGTAGAAAACTAGGCGCTTTACCCCGATTTTTAAATTGGGCCAATTATTGGAGGTCACCAGATATGAGCGAAAAGTCTAGCAATGGGCTACGGCTGAAAAATCCTGCGATTTTTGCGCACTTGGAGCACGATGGCAAAGATTGCAGATTGCGTAAATTTTCCGGGAATTTTTCTTCTCTGGGAAAGATTATCGAAGTAAAGCGAAAAGAAATTAGGGCTTGCATGCAAAAAGTTTACCAAATTAGTAAAGAAAGTTCGTCCCTTCTTTGGAGGCGAAGTATTAAAGTTGATGTTGGTTTTGCTGAAATTGCGCCAATTTATTGTGCAAACAATAATCAAGTGTAAAGTCGATGTCGGCCCAGAAATTGCCTTTCAAATTTTGTGCCCCTTTATTGGCCAATAAGTCGGGGGAAAATGCCCAGAGTAACAGATGATATTCAATCGCCAATATTTCCAGTTTCCATTGCACAAAACTGCATTAATACGATTTTTATTTTTTTACTCGAAAATGATGCGTTAGACGGAGGAAACTCACGGAAGGTTTTTTGTTTGTAATGAAAGGGCCAAAGTAGTTTTTTGGCACAGTTTTTTCTTCAAAAATGTTGAATTTCTCATGAGATAAAACAGATTGACCGTTTGGCTAAACTAAAGAGCGCAATAAAATAACCGCACATGTTTTCATGAACTGTTTGTCCTCAACTTCCAACACGAATTTAAACCTTAAAACTGCCGCAAAAATGCGATTTTTTCACATTTACAAGTCGTCTGTTGCTCAACTTGTAGATGCGCAAGTAGAAGAAATTCTCATTTGCTAGACTGCCCTGCTAAGACAGGAAGTCGTATCTGCAAAACCCAAGTTTTGAGATATTAAGCAATTTGTAAATTATGACATGCCATCTTCGCTTATTTGCAAAACTGTTTTAAGATCTCAATGTGAACTTCACGTTAATAAACTTACACAAGAAATCTTAAGGTTTACTACTAAGTAATTTTGCAGTATAGTACTCATAGTTTAGCAAATAACATAAAAGCAAACAACACAGACTTTGTAAGAAAAACATATATTAACTAAAAATAATACATTATCTAATACTAGTCACTTTCAATGTCATTTCCGTCGTTCCAGTTCCATTCCAATTTTTGCAGCAATTTGGCTTTCCTATCCTTGTCAATTCCTTTAGGGGCCAATCTGATCACAGGTTTTGGTAGGTCATTTTTATAATGTTTGGCCAATAGAAAGTTGAGTTCAATCAATGGTCCACTAAATTTGG